AACAGCAACAACAAATATAGTAAATGAGACCATGATAACTTATTTATATCTAAATTCAAAATTTGTTTGAAAATTCAGCAAAAGTTACTTTTTCTATTAAGGAAATATTTGCTAATAAAATATGAGAATTTGGAGAGATGGATCAGTAGTTAAGAGCACTGACTATTCTTGCAGAGGAACTGGGCTTGGTTCCCAGCACCCACATAGTAACTCACAACTGTCTGTAACTACAGTTCCAAGGGAACCAGTGCTCTTTTCTGGCCTCGATGGGCACTTCACATATATAGTTCACAGACATACGTGCATGCACAATAATCAAACACATAAAATAAAAAAAATCTTTATGAAAAAGAAATTCATGAAAAATGACACTCATCACCCAGGAAGTGAAATTCAAAAATCACACATTTTTTCCGTCACTCCAGTAAAAATAAATAAGTAAGTAAGTAAAGAAAGAGAGAAAGATAGATAGAAAGAAAGCAAAGAAAACAGTGCAAATGAGGTTGTGGGTAAGGGGACATATTCCCCACTATTTACAGAGATATGCATTAGGACAATTGTTATGGAAGACAGTATAGAAGATTCTCAAAATACTAGAACTACTGCATCATTCAGTTATCGACTCCTGAGTATATATTCAAAGGAAATGAAATCAGGATATCAAAGAAATATATGAACTCTCAGATTCATTGTCACACGACTTATAATAGCCAAGAAATGGAAATAACATGAGAATCTATCCATTGAGGAACAAAACAAATGGAGACATACACACAATGGAATTGTGTTAAATCATAAAGGGAATGAGATTCTGTCCTTTGCAAAATGTATATATATATATAACTAGAAATCATTATACTAAATGAAATAAGATAGGCACAGAAATACATATGCTACATGTTTTCATTCACATGTGAAATATAAACAATTGTTCCCAGGGAGATTGAGAGTAACATGGAAGTTGTCTGTGGCAGGGGTGTAGTGATATTTCATTTGTATTTTAATAAATAAAGCTTTCCTGAAGATCAGAGTAAAACAGCCTCGCTGGTTAGCCATACAGATCAGACAGTGGTAACACACACCTTTAATCCCCATAGCCACACTAGCCAGAAAAGCCAGATAGTGCATGCCTTTAGTCCCAGCCCTAGAAAGGAATATAAGACAGGAGGAGACAGCTTTCCGCTCAGTCTCATTCTGAGGATTCCCAGAGCAGCATTGCCATTTTGGTCTGAAGTGGAGTTAAGATCCAGTGGCTGACCATTTTGCTTTTCTAATCTTCAGGTTGAATTCAAATTTCTGTCTCTGGGTTTTTATTAATGGTCTGGGGGAAGTAGAAAGGGTGTAGGATAGGGAATGAAAGATCAGTATGCACTAATTGTTCTAGTTTGCTTTCTATCGCTGTGATAAAACCAATTATCAAAAGCAGTTTGTGGAGGAAAGATTACATTTCATCTTCCAGCTTAAAGTTCAACATTGAGGGAAGTCAGGACAAGAGATCAGGGCACAAGGAGTCAGGAACTGAAGCAGAAACCATGCAGGAATGTTGCTTACTGGCTTGTTCCCCATGACTTGCTCTGTTTGCTTTCTTTTATAACCTGTACAGGAGTAGCAGCACCTGCTGTGGCCCTCCCACATCAATCATTAATCGCGAAAATGCCCACACAGACTTGACTATAGGCCAGGCTGATAGTCACCACTCGAGCTTGTATCAAATTGACAACAAATTAACCAGCATAGTAAAGTAGGAACAAAAATTTCTAATTTGCTTATGTATATTTGGATGAAGATAGATAATAATAATAATAATAATAAAAGATTGTACATTTAAAAAATTAGGCAGGATTCTATGTTTACATTTCAAGGAAATGACAAATGTTTGGATAAATATATTTGTCCTAATTTAAATATTATACTATATATATATATATATATATATATATATATATATGAATTAAAACACCAAAATAACTGAATATGCATGACTTCATTTTTGTATACTAGTTAAATAAATCTAGCTGATAATAAATTTTAAAAGCTTATTAATCAAATTAAGTATTATTATTATGAACACTGAACTATAATAAGTCCATATCCATTATAGTGTGAGAATCAAAAGAGCTTGGTCCAACTAACATTTTTACTTCTGGATCTCTGGTCTGTTTTAGTTATTTTATTTATCAACATTTCAGTTTCCTCATTTATAAAATTCATTTTATCATATAAAAATAATAGAATAGAGTTCATGTACTATGGTGTAAAATTATATCTCTAAAATTCATATATTAAAACCCTTGCCTTAATGTGTCTCTATTGGCAGTAGGGCCTAAGGAGGTATTTAAAATTAAATGAGTTCATAAGGATGGAACCATAATCTGATAGATTTGGTGACTTTATAAGAAGAGGAAGGATGTATGTACAAACAAAACGCCATGTAAGCATAAACAATGAAGGTGGTTGCCTATTAGCCAAGAAAAGAGGCCTCAGAATGAAATTTACCACAGTGGCATCTTGACCTTGGACACTCAGCCTGTAAAACTGTGAGAAATAAATGTTTATTGTTTAAGCCACCCATTTGTGGCATGCTGTTATAATAACCTTAGTAGGCCAGGACAGTGACTAAGAAGTGTGTGTGTGTGTGTGTGTGTGTGTGTGTGTGTGTATGTGTGTGAATAACAATTAGTGGAAGAAGAGGCCATGAATCTGAAAGAGAGAGTAAGGATGGGTATATGGGATGGAAGGGTATCGGGATGATGATAAATGATATAATCAAAAATAAAATAAAATATGGGTGTTAAATGTCATTCTCATGACATCTCAAATGTGAAATGATTGGAAAATGGAAGAAAAATGATCATTGTTCTAAAGCAGCAAAGAACCTCTTTGTTTTGTGGAAGACAGAATCTGTGAACAATTGCAGTGATTACCTAGCTTACATCTCTTTAAAAATAATTTCTTTTATTTTTAGAACTTTATTATATTTTAAACTCTTTATTTCTATGGTTGTCTATAGCCATTTTCTTTTCTTAAGCCTATGCCATTGTTCAACACATTGGAATGTGTTTAGAGTTTTTTCCCATCTGTATCTCTTTTACTGTGTATCTCTAGTCTTTTTGTGAGCAAAATTTAAACTATTAAGCTGTAGCTGGGTCTTCTGAGAGACTCTATTGGCTGGCTCTATCCACTTCTAGGTTCATGAGAGACAAGCCTGAAGCTCATGGCCCAGTTGGAGGTGTGTTTGTCCAGGAACTGCTTTCAACCCCCTAGCTATGAAATGCCAGTTCCCTGCACTATGGCAGGCATTTTTTTAAATTATTTTTTGTTTCTATTTAGGGTAAAAAATGCTGTTTAAATGCTTTTCTGTAAGGCAGAGTTTATTAAAGGAGCCATATCTATTGTTTTTTTTGTCAGTGTTCTCAGGCCCTAGGGATCGTTGAGAGTCCCACATTGGGTGACAAAACGTTTTTTCTTTTTCTTTTTTGTTTTTTAGCTCTTTACTATTTAGGGACCCTGCCATCCAATTACCAAATAAATCACATAGAGGCTTATTCTATTTATTTATTTAAAATTTCCACCTCCTCCCATCCTCCCATCTCCCTCCCCCTTCCCCCATCCCCTTCCCTCTCCAGTCCTAAGAGAAGTCAGGGTGTCCTGCCCTGTGGGAAGTCCAAGATCCTCCCCCCTCCATCCAGGTCTAGGAAGGTGAGCATCCAAACAGTCTAGGCTCTCATAAAGCCAGGACATGCAGTAGGATCAAAATCCAGTGTCATTATCTCAAAAACCCAGTGTCATTATTGGCTTATTCTTTCTTATGAATGTCTGACCTTAGCTTGGCTTGTTTCTAGCCAGCTTTATTTTAACTTAAATTATCCCATTTATCTTTTGCTTCTGGGCTTTTATCTTTCTCTATTATATATAACTTTCTTTACTTCTTACTACGCAGCTTGTTGTGTAGCTTGGTGGTTGGTTCCTGGTGTCGTCTTCTTCTCCTTTCACTTACCAATCTTTTCTTCCCAGATTTCTCCTATTTATTCTCCCTGCCCGCCAGCCCCGTCTATTCTTTTTCAAGACTAGCTATTGGTCATTTAGCTGTTTATTAGACCAATCAGATGTTTTAGACAAAGTAACACTGCTTCACAGAGTTAAACAAATGCAACATTAAAGAATGCAACATATCTTTGCATCATTAAACAAATGTTCCACAGCATAAACAAATGTAACACATCTTTCACTAATATTCTACAGTAAGCGTTTTAACTTTTCACCCATCTCTCTAGCTTTATGATAACCACCATTTTATTCTGTACTTCTTTGAGGTCCATATTTTGCCTTCTTCATTGAAAGGAAGTTATATACTTTTTGTTTTTCTGTGCTTGAATTAGTTACCCTCCTACCCTCCAGTTTTATTCATATTGCTGAAAATAGCAGAATTTAATTATTTCAAAGAATGCATAACATTCCATGGTTCAGTACTCCTTTTTAAAATTCAATTACTATTACTACTAAATTACAATGTTATAAAGTAATAGAATATTACTATTTATTATAATAATAATATTATAAGAATAATTATATTTCATAGCATGATATACTCACATTACTTTGGTAATTAATACTATCAGTTAATTTAATTGAATCTTATTTCAGTCAACCATTTTTAGCTTAAGACTATGTACACTTACAAAACAGTAAGACTCTGTTAAAGGTGTTTCATAATTATGATTTTTTGTCAGAGCCAGCAGGTCTGTAGTTTCTTTTTGTCCAGTCTCTTTATCACACAAATCCTTAGGTGTATTAAACCACACAAAAATCGTGGGGGACTGTGATTAGGCTGAAATAAAATGCAAGCAAATTAAATCCAATGGCTTTGCTTTCTGTGACTGCCAAGAAGCTGTCCGTTTACATCCAGTATATGTAAGTTTTATAGATAAAAGTAAATTCAAGTTTAGAGCATCCATTGTTCTTCTGGAAACTATTAGTAATGGAAATGCATTCTTTCACAGGTATCAAGGTTACATCTATACATATCGAGTGTCGCAGACAGAAACAGGTTCTTGGAGTGCTGAGGTACAGTTCTTTTATTTATTTTTGCTTCTTTGGGTATCAGAAAAGTGCTTGAAATTCAGGTTTGTTTATAAAATAGAAGTTACATAGTAAATTACCAAAATATTAATCATATTTAAATCATGAATGCTTAATTCCACAGTTGTTGGTGGTTCATTTAGAAGCCTTTAGAAAATTTTGGTTCCAGACCTGTGTGGAGTGGGATCACTTTGAAGAATGAAGAACTTTGATGGATGATGCCTAACTTACTTACAGAACCTATACAAACTTTTAGAAAGCATATATTGAATAATACTGATGTCTACATTGGTGCTGTTGTGGATAGAAACAGGCAAACTGGAATTTCTCTTTTCTACTAGTCACTAATAGCCTTAGGAGATATAACAAGGAATTAAACTGCAGTGTGAGGGCCTGGGCCATGTCCAGTGCATCCAGGCTCCATGTGCTTCTTTCTATAATTACTTTTGATGGAAGCAATTTGTAAAATGAGAGGAGTCATTTCAAGGAGTGTAAGATAATGCAAGTAAAGAAGCTCTTAGCTGCAGAGTCTAGCATATAGTCAACATCCTAAAATATGAACTACTGAAAGCTTCTCAACATGATTGTGTATAGTCCAGGGCTAATTTACCAAGCATAAGAGTCCCGAGATAGAGGCATTTGCAAGTACCCAGACAATTGGTGCTGCTCTGCATGCGTCAGCAAGACTCTCACAAGAGCCATGTTGGAGGCCTCTGGGTAGGAGGGATAGAGAAGAGGTAAAATTGCAGTTTTTATTTAATACAAATATTCTTTGAGAATTTCATACATGTATGCACAACAAATTCCTACCTGCTTTTGCAGTGTTTTAAAGGCATGTTTTTCTGAATCACAGTTCTCTTCTATCGTAGGACTCCCTAGCAAGGGGGTTGCAGGAGAGGGAGAGGTGAGTGGGTGTAATTCTGGATACTTATCTGACTTTAATTGTGAAGTTCTCTTTAGCTTTCCTTATGAACTGGAGATTTGAATAAGATTTGTTCAGAACGAAAGTGTCTTGTGACTGAAAATATTTGAGAGCCACTGTGTCAGTCCAAGAACTGAGTGAATTCTTTTTACATAGTACAGTAGAAAGTAGCAAAGAATAGCCCATTTACAAACTACTGAGTGAGTCCAAAATTGTAGTTTTTAAACTTTTGCTTTAGTTGGTTTCTGACTTTATAATAGTCCATCCAGATAGTTGAAGTATTTCACTATGATCTTTGGGAAACATAGATGTTAATATTAACTTCTATTAATAGCTTCATTAATCTGTGCATTCAAGACATTATAAAGTTTTGACAAAAATTTAAAATGTCTTACAAATTTATCAGTAAAAAGCAAAGTACAAATCATAAGCATTTAAATTGTGAAAATGAATTAGAGTAGATTCAAATACATTGTTATTTATTGGTTAATTTCATATTTTAGGTTTTGTCTTTAACTTTTAGGGATTTTAGTTTTTTAAAAAATAGGATTAGGGCTGAAACCCAGGGTCTCATGCATACCAGGAAAGTGTGATACCACTGAGAAATTAATTAATTTTGTTTTTTTTAATTGCTATATATTCACTGTACATAGTAATGTGTTTCATAAGACTAGTATATAACGTTCTTTGATTATGTTACTTCATATAATACTATATCATTCCCTGGTCACACTGTTATTTTGTGTCAGGATAATTCTGTCATCCTATATAAGGAAAAATCAGTATCATTTCTAGTCAAAACTATATTTCCTTTTAAAAAAGTCCATCACTGCAAATATGTAAGCAATTTGATTTATCATGAGGAATAGTCATGTGTAGCTGGTATATGTGAATTTGTATATGGGTTGCCACAAAAATCCTTTTCTTTCAAGAAATACTTCAGCTGAGAAATAAAAATATTTTATGGAAAGAATTTGTGATTTAAAAATTAGTTCTTTAACAATTTTGTATGTTTTGATCATATTTGCCATTGTCCTCCAGTTCCTCCCAGATCCATTCCTCTCTCCCTATCTACAAAATTTTGTGTACTCTTTGTTTTGCTAAATCTGTCAACTCAATTTGTGCTGCCTAAATATTCTTGGATGTGTGGCCTTCCACGGAAGCATGATTCATTTACCAGGGGCCATTCTTCTAAAGAAAGCTGGCTCTTCTTCTCCTGGTAGCTATCAATTGTCAATAGCTCCTCGCCTAGGAGTGGAACTTTGTGTACACCTCCTCTCTTCATGCTGGCATTTGATCTGGGTTAGGCTTGCACAGGTCCTGTGTATGTTGTCATAACCACTGTGAGTTCATATGTGAACCTGTCCTGCTGGGTCTGGAAGACATGGTTTTCTTGTCTTTACTCTCTTTTCACCTCTCTTCCTCAACGATTCCGAAGCTTTGGGGAAAAGGGTTGTGATATAGATTCTTAGACCCATTTTATATTTTTTCTTTTCTATTTCACATGCGACTTCATATCACATCATTGCATATTTGTAATCATTTTCAGAAGGAAAGGGTTTATTGAGCGTAAATATCCCTTATCCTGTTGTCTGATTTGACCCTCTTTATATAATAATATTGAAATTATTTGCACCACAAGAGCAGAAGATTTGCATGGATTATCCCCAAATGGGAAAGAGGTAAAAACATCTTGTTTTCATGAAATGCATATTGCAGTTTCCTGTCTATAAAATTTGCCTTCTTGTTAAGGTGAATATTAAACTAGTGCGTAATTCTCAGAGCTCATACCACCTGGCTGGAAGAAATTTCTCCAGAGTGTATTGAAGACCAGCTGCGATTCAAAACATATTTCCATGGATAACTAAGAGGTGGCAGTATGGGAAATACCCAAATTTGAACAAGAATCGAATTCACTGACAGGATAGTGGCAGCGAAGCTTTGTGTGTGTGTGTGTGTGTGTGTGTGTGTGTGTGTGTGTGTGTGTGAAATAATCTTCCAAAAAATGGGATAAGTGGCATTTGTACTACTTTCAGGAAAACCATTTTAGTTTGCTACACCATAAGAAAAGATCACGTCAGGAATATTCTATCCTCTGTCCCTATGTAATTATAGATATGTTTTAAGATGTGATATTCAATTGAACCTTAAATCTATTGAATTATAAAAGACAAACATGCATCTTTTTCATTTTAGATAGAGCATTGCTAAGGATATTAACTTAGCCCTTGGAGTCCAAATTTATGATGAGTTGATTAACATTTATTAATGTATAGATTGTCAGCAGTGCATTGTCAAAAGTGGACTGCTCTCTCTCTGCCAGTTTCTGTGCCTTTGGCCTTTTATGGGTAGTTGGTCACCAGGAGATCCTTAGCTAGTAAGCAAATTACTTATTAGCCTAAGCAAATCATCATAAATTAGTTCAGTCATTTGTTAAAGAAATGCCGCATCTCTAGTTCAAATTGCTTCTAAATGTCCGGTGGTATTTGTCTTCTCTGTCAGCATGGATAATCAAGTGTTTACTATCAGTCCCCATAGAAATAATGCCTCTGTTGAAAATGCTTTTATAAGCCACAAGAAATAGCCTAAATGAAGTGTGGTTTGAAATGATTCCCCTCTGGGGAAATATGCAGTTTCCCCTCTGGCTGGTGTCTTCAGCTTCACTCAAACTTCTTGGTCTAGTCCTAATCTGAAAGGAATGAAGAGAAAATTTTGCTGCTTCTGATTGTATGTGTGATTTCACATCTGCTTATTATTTTCCTTTATGCAAGATGATTAAGTTGAATGTTTGTACCTGTAAAATGAGACTAATTGAAAGAATCAATACCTACCAATCCATGAGAAAACAGTGAAGACAAGAGATGGGAAAGTATGTTGGCAAACAAAAAAATGCCCTCAGAAAGAACTAAGGTGGTATTTTGTACTCATTGCATGCCTTCGTAATGCAATGTCTGTCTGGAGCTAAAGAGTCTCTGTGGGAACGGTCATATTATTTCTAGATGAGGCCTCAGCAGAAATTTAGGAAGGTCTTCTGGTCAGAAGGATAGAGATGGGCGGGAGACCGTTCTCTATCTGTTGAAACTATACAGGCAGACACTAATATACAGCTAAAGAGAACATCTGCAGTGTTTGTACTGGAAAACTACCTACTCCAACATAGGAATGACTTTGGATCGTCTGTTATCTTGAATTTAACATCTAGTTGACAGAAGTCTGTGTGCCAGCCTTCGTGTTTTCTCATTAAATGCTAAAAAACAAGCAGTTCCCGTCTCAAAAAATCTTCCAAATGGAACAGCTGAAAAACAACTTTCTAAAAAGAAAAGAAAAGAAAGAAACAAAACTAGTCATTGTTCAATTGCTTGTAGCAATACTATTTTATTTTATGACAGTTTTGAGATGGTGCCTAAAGCAAGGCTCATAAGCTTTGTGGGGAATGTTGATTTCAGGCAGTGTCTTTGTGAGAGCACAGATGTCAGGGAAAGAATACATTCTTAACAGCCACCTGCAAATGCGATCTCTTTAAAAACTAACAAATATATAAATAAAGAGAACCTTCTACAGTCTTTCATTTTCGTGTCATATAGAAAGCCTTGGAATGGTACAGTGCTGATTGTGAGCAATCTGGGAAAAGAACACAAAATTAACATGAAGGATGAGTCAGTGTGTGTTACGAGGTAAAAGCACATGAGCATTAGCTAGCCATGCAGCTGTATGTATCATAGCACTCACTTTTTAATTTTCTGAGTAGTATTTTCTGTTGGAAAATGATGGCATGGGGACGGGTTGTTGGTTTGGTTCCTCAGGCTTTTTATTAATGACCTGTAGGATCTGTGCTTTTTTTTATGTTTAACTGCATCCCCTCTGTTGCTGAATTCATTGTGGGTAATGGCCTGTGCACCCTTAGAGGTTCGGGATGTCTGATGGGTAGCAGTCAGCAAGGGCAGGGCTGTGAGAGCTTGTACAAACTAGTCCTACCCTTGGGAGAACTGCAATGACAGCTCATTAGCTCCTCTTGCAGGGAAATTCAGCCAAGCAAAGCAAGCTCTTCTGGCTGTTGTTTTCTTTTCTTCCTTATGTTTTCAAATATTGGAGCAAGTTACACAAATGTTACCTCTCTAAGCATCCCTCTCACTTCTTATGTGTCTTTTTTTAAGCATTATGAGGCAAATAAATAATGTGTTTTGGTCTTTTCTTTTCCAGACAGCACCTGGGGTGCATAAAAGATTTTTCCGGAAAATAAAAAATCTCATTTCAGCATTTCAGAAGCCAGATCAAGGCATTGTAATACCGCTGCAGTATCCAGTTGAGAAGTCCTCAGTGAGGAGTACACAAGGTACCGCAAGTGTGGCTTCCTGCTCAGTTTTGAAACAGTTGGGAAGTTTAGAGTTGGGATCAACCTATTCATAACCACATAACAAGCAGGAGGACTCATAAGCAAAATTCAACAAGGAAGTAGTTGTAGCCAGCAAATCAGGTGAGAGGTAGCTATGCAAAGGGGCCGTAATATGCTCTAATACACACTTTTAATAAAATTGTAAAACTATAGAAAGTCTATGAAGTAAAGATATTTTAATCTCTTTATTTCTATCTTATTTTTCCTAGTCCTTTTTGTAGATAGTAAGTACCATTTTACTTCAGTAATCTATGCACATATGATTTGAAAGATGGGATAGTTCAGTGAGTACCTGGGCTGTATGTTCCCTATTGCTTAATAAAAACCCTCCTTTGCCCTTCTGGCACAGAAAGGCAAATGGTAACCTAATTCCTGTGATTCTGATTTCTGAACTGATGGTGTTTGAATGAATGACATTTTATAGTAGCAAAGGAAATCAAATTAGCACTCTTGGTTGTTTTACTGACATTCACAATTCTCTTGAGCAAAGCTATTATTAGTGAACGGATTGAGCTAAAGAATGAATACTAGCCAATTGATGACTCTGTCTGTTTTTCTTTTATGAGAACAGGTTAGTACTCTGTTTTGAGTGAGAGGTGTGTTTTGATTGATCCAATTAGTATTTATGATAAAATGAGTTTTTATAATTTGGGAACCAGGCTCAGACATAAATTGATAAATAGACTCAAATATGATTTAAATTGACTAATAGTCACCCTTTGACATAGAAATGTAAATGGAACTCCAGTTTAGAAAGCATGTAACTTTCCTTCCTGTCCAATGATCTATTCTTTATGGTGGCATTTTAAATAATAGCTGCTTGAGGCATAGCATTGGGTTACATATTACAAATTTGAGTTAAACTATCATTTTAATACTGTACTAATTTTGCTTGACTTTTTCTAATCTTTTTCTTTAGGGAGAAGTGATTCTGATGTCTGCCTGAAAGCGCCATGAAGAAGACTAACACACCCTGTCCTTTATTTTCAATAATTTAAGTATATGCCAAGTCTTGTATATTGTAGATACTACAGTTCAGTGAACTGTAAATGCCTTTTAAACAGCACTCTAGTCCTGTAATAGGAGCATCTCTCCCATGTCAAAGCTGAAAGTGGATGTTGTAGATAGCAAATGTTTTAAATTGAGGACTGGGAAACAGAATCCCTTCGAGTATTTTAACTTCCTGTATTTACGAACGAGAAGCAGTTTAAAGCACAATGAAAACTTTACAAAAGATTAATGTCAATTCTTGCCACATGTAAATAAAAATAATCTTCATTTTTTTTTGTCGAAACAGCATTTCTGTGAAGTGTTTGATAGTTACTGATTTTTAAGCTTCTTGCTTGATTTCATGGTAGGAAGGTGTTTGGTGTGCAGATCTCAAGTCATTGTGGTGCCTTCGGCTTCTTTGGGATTTGTGACGATGTGTATGAACAGAAGTATTAGATAAAGAGAAAAGAGTATTTGTTTAAATTTGAAATCGAGCTTCTTGCCCAGAGTTCTTCCATTAAGACAGTTAAATCTTTGGATCAGTGGGGTGTGGTAATGCATACTTTTCATTCCAACACTTGAGAGGTGGAGGCAGGGTGACTAAGAGTTTAATATCATTTGGCTACAGGACACAGTGCTTCAAAATTCAAACAAAACCCACAGACCAAACCAGTTTACAAGCCTATGATTTCAAATAGGCTCTAAATGTTTATTGTATTTGATGCAACAGGTTTTGGGGTTATATTAGAGATCAGATGAAATAATGAAATAAGATAGATTTTTTTTCCCCACGTATCTCTGTCCTAGCTGTCTTTACTCTAAGTGGAGATTTATTTGGAAGGGACACTTTAGTGACCGCATCTCATGATCAACTGATTTGTAATTGGGCAACCCTATAAAGGCTTGTGGTTTCATTAATTTTCAGCAATTCTGAGTCATTGAAACCTAAGTAAGAGTTGGATTTTATGCAGTGTTTTCTGCTCACGTTTGTATTTTCATGGCTTTTGTGATTGATAGTGTGCCAAGTTGCTTCAGGGCTCACAGAATTCATTTACTCAACAAACGTAACAGGGCAGAAAAGTAAAAACACCTGTTTCTTGTCTCCGGGCAGTTCAGTGTCCATTTGGACGGGAAAACAGTAACAGTAAAAACAATAAAAAGAAAATTTTAGGGACGATGACAACAAAAGTCGGTAAATACATAAGTAAAGTTCCCAATACGTAGGTAGATTTGTATTTGGTGGGATGTTGAATCAGCACAAATGCTCTGGTCCATAATCCGCAGGAAAATGAATACATGAGATGTCTGGGTTTCCCTGAATGTTGTGAGCTTGGTTAAGAATGAGTGAATTGTTGACAGACAGAGCTAGCTACCTTGTGCATACTGAGCACTTAACATGTATGCTTTGAGTTTGCAAAGATGGGGTGTGGGGACAGTGATGCACTGTGGGAAGCTCCCTATTTGTTGAAATAATAGCATCACTAACTTGTAAGTAAATTAAAAAGTCTACTTTCAAGATAAAACAAGATACATGTGTTTAAATACTTTTTTTAAAAATAGGATGTCATGTAGTCCAGGCTGATCTCTAGGCTGATCTCCAGCTTGTGCAGCTGAGGATGACCGACCTTGAAGTGCTGGTCTTCTGTTTCCACCTCCTGAATGCTTATATTAGGGGCATGGGTCACCAATCTGACTCAAGTAGCACTGTGGCTTTCACCCAGGGCTTTGAGTGTACTAGATAAGCACTGTACCAACTAAATTACAGCCTCAGTTCCTAAAAATATTTTAAAAAATTATTTTAGTTTGAATTTAGATTTTAACACATTTTTTATTCTTCAAACTTTTGTTGATTCTTTGTGGATGTCACATCATGTATCCTGATCCCCACCCATCTCCATAGCCCCACCAAATCCCCCCTCATCCCTTGCAACCTCCCTCCCAAAACAAAACAAAATCTAAAAGAAAATCCAAAAAACCACACAAAGCAAACAACAGCAACAAAACCAAAACAGAACAAAACAAAAACCAACCAACCAATCAATTAACCACCCATCTATCCAAACAAACAAACAAACAAAAACAGGAGCGGAATCTCTTTGCGGAAGCTGTAGTCCAGTGTGTCACACAGTAAACCCTTTAGTCCTTTCATCTTTACTTTCAATGCATGTTTTAAACTCTGTCCACAATGGAGTAACTAAACATGTGAATGCTATTTGCATGTTTCTTCATAAGAGTCTGTATTGAGAAATGCCTTCTAAAATCATTAGTGGTCTTTCACCTTTTAATAAAGTAGTTGAAACTTTTATTTACCTAATTTGCTTTAGGTAAATTTGAATTTACCTAATTCATTTAAAATACAGAGACAGTTTGGTCTACATGGTAAGTTCCAGGTCAGTCAAGGCTACATGGAGAAACCCTGTGCCTGTCTCAAAAACAAACAAATGAGCAAATAAATAAAATATAGAGACAGATGCTGTTAATAAACTAAAATATTGATGAAGATTACTTTACTGTATTGAAATGATTTCTTGGGATAGTTATGAACTTTTCTGATTTTACTATTGTCAAACCTTCCAGCCCATGAGGCTCTGTTCACATCTGGCTGGACTTTACTCATCAAGTTGATTCCATTTCTTTTCTTTCCTAACATGAGTAACTTTGTTATTATCCAGTGTATAATAGGTGCACTTTTTATATAAAGATCATACTCTTGTTCCATCTAAAATACTGTGCTAGTCAGATATACCTATAAGATGACAAGATAGAAAACAAAGTAGAGGCCGAGTGAATATGGGCACATGACCCATCCTAGGTATGGTTGACGAGAAGAGTTTTATTGTAGATATGAGAAAGAGTTCAGTCATAGGCTTCTGGAAGGGTCCCGATTGCCAGGGCCATAGGAGGGCAGGGAGAGAGAAAAAGACAGAGAGAGACAAACAGAGACAGAGGAAGAGAGAGAGAGAGAGAGAGAGAGAGAGAGAGAGAGAGAGAGCGCCAAGAGGGCAAAGAGGCCAAGATCAAGCTAGCTAGGTGCCAAGAGACCAAGAGAGAAGAACCAAGAGTACTCATGGCTAAAATGCCTGAGGTTATATAGGAAAGAGAAACTGGGGGGAGGGAAGCTACACAGCCCCTGGGAGGAGGCTGGGTGAGAAGTCCTGAAAGGAGCTACAGGCACTAAGTGAGATTTGTCTCCAGTTTCTTTGGAACCTGACACACGTATTTCCAAGAATATATTTCTTTTGAAAAGTGTGCCAGCAAGCCCACAATACTTGTGACAGTTTATCAAATACTAGTCAATTTCTTCAGAAATTTGTTCTTAGAAGCCTAAGGTCAGTAGGAAGACAAGCTTAGGTAATTTTCTGTTTGACTGTGACAGGCAAGGAGTCTTGTGGCAGTTCACAGGTAGAATAAATCTACGAAGAATATGTCCGATGAAGCCACCAGGTATAAATAAAGGGTTGGATGGAAGACATTCTTTCTTTAGATAGAACGGATAATTTGAAAATGTAAGAAACATTTTAAAATCTGTTATGAATGTTATGACATTAGACTATATTTTATTTGATTCACTTTATTGGGCTCAGAATCCCAAGTCTATTAATAATAAAACCCAGATTTGCCCTTGAGTGTTTCAAGGTTACATGATAACTAGTTTTCTTGTTAGGGTGCTATAAATTCAACTGTGTCACGTGTGTTTGCCCTTGTAGGAAATGGGATCTTATTATTTTTCAGTTTGCAGCTAGGGGTGAAGTTAAACTATCCTAGTTTTGAGAGTTTCATACTTTGGGATCACTGGCCAAATTTCTAGTAAAAGGCCGTATTATTAGTGGGTCATTTGAGTTGTGTATGTGTGTATGTGTTTGAACATTGTTCTTGTGTGCATGGTTGTGACAAACTCAAGTATCATTCCTTAGGAGCTGTCCACCTATTTTTTTTTTGCTTATGTACTTGTTTTTTTTTATTAAATTTTTTTTTATTAAAAATTTCGGTCTCCTCCCTGCCTCCCTTTTCCCTCCCCCTCCCCCACTCCCCAGTCCTCACTCCCCTCCCCCTCCCTCTCCAGTCCGAAGAGCAGTCACGGTTCCCTGCCCTATGGACAGTCCAAGGTCCTCCCCCCCCTCCATCCAGGTCTAGGAAGGTGAGCATCCAAACAGGCTAGGTGGGAAAAAACCGGACTCTCTGAATATGATGGACAATGAGGGCTGCTGAGAAGCCAAGGACAATGGCACTGGGTTTTGATCCTACTGCATGTCCACCTATTTTTTACTGGAGGCAGATTCTCTTTTTAGGCTGTATCTCATCAAATGGGCTACGCTGCCTGGCCAGGAAGCCCCAGGAACTTGCTTGTCTTTGCTTCTCCAATGCTTGGATTATAAGTACTTGCTACCACACTGGGTTTTAAACAAAATATACAAAACAAAACAAACACCCCACTATTTTTATTAATTCTTTGAAAATTTCATTTAATGTATTTTGAACATGTGCATTCTCCCTACCATATCCCCCTTTCCACTCTCCCATTCCCTCTTTCCGATCCATCTTTGAGATTTCTGTCATCTTTTTTGTTTATCCATCTATTCCAGTGTGTGTTGTCCACCTTGTCTTGGGATTGGGTCGGGCCTTAACTTCCAGGCTATTTTTTTTCCCATATGTGTTGTGGGGGTTTGAATCCAGAGCCTCAGGCTTGTGCAGCAAACATTTACTGACTGGACATTGTTTTGACCCATCAGCAGAACACACAGAACACACACATACATGCACACGCACACACACCTTGATAGCCCTCCCCAATTCCTGAAATTCATTTGCTGTCTCACAAGAAGATAGGTGGTAATGTCATATTTGGTGTTGGAGTGAAAGGAGGAACGCATGAGACCTGTATTTTCTTTTCCTCTGCCACTCATGGTCCATATGACCTTAGCTAAGTTAATCTGATACCTTTATAACATTTACCTAGTAGGCATAATTAAATCTTATTCATCTTACTGGATTATGGAAGCACTAGAATTACATGAGTTTAAGGTAGCAATAGTACAAAATATTTACATACATATTCAAACATTAAAACTAAAGGTGAACAGTGAAGGAATGTGGACAAATTCTTATTTCCTGTTACGTTTCTGTTAAAGTAGGGGCTCCTGACATTTTCTTAAAATATGAGAGTCAGGTAGCATGCACAATTTAAATAATGCTCAGGTGAAACTAAAAATTTCCCTCCTTTGTATTAATGCTTTGTGTTGAGACTAGGGTATCTTC